GATCCGCAAGGAACAAGAACGGGTCGAACGCGAGAAGGCTGAAAAATTACGCCGTGAACGAGAAGCAGCTGCGCGCGTTGAGGCCGAACGCCAAGCCAAAGAGCAGGCCGAGAAGAAGGCCCAAGAGGAGGCGGCTAAGAAGGCCGCTGCCGTTGAAACCGCACGCAAAGCCGCGATTGAGGAGGAACTCCGCAAGGAACGCGAGCAGGCCGACGCTCAGAAACGCAAGCAGGATGAGCAGGCTCAGAAGGTACAGGATGAGGCCGACCAAAAAGCCCGCAGCCAACAGCAGCAGAAACTCGGTGGTGGGAAGCTTTCACCTGAAGATATCCGTGTGCAACAACGTTACGTTGAGCTGCATAAGACCCTCAAGGACATGCGCAAGTGGCTCAAGGATCTCGGCCAAACCCAGCCTGACCTCAAGGCCACCATGGGCAATTTACGGCGCTCGATCAAGAAATCTGTTGGTCAGCTTCGATCTGGCACCGGCGCCAACAAGCAACAGGTACGATATCCCTCCCCCCTCATTGGATGCCGATGCTTAGATACTGATTATCGGAACCAAACTCAGATTATTCAACTCAAAGCCGAACTTGAAAAGGCTCTTGCCTATTCCGAACCAACAGTGGATATCCGAAACTTCATCGCATTCCCGCCTGCGGAGATTGCACAGTCCGAACACAAGGTACCGGCAATGCTTATCTACGGATTAAACATTGTCGCGAAGAGCTTGATTTCCTCTCTCCTGGCCGAAGCTTCTATTAAACAATCCCACGCTGAGCCAATCGGCATCATCGCAGCTCAGATCTTCTCTTTCGAAAACTTCACATACAACGGAGTGCACATGTCCGACATCATATTGGCCAAGTACCGTGTTGTTTGCCCCGCTCTGTGGGGATTCACAGGCAATGACAAGACCGAGGGAGGTCGTCGTGCCATGGGTTGGTGGCGTGCAGCAGACACTGGCTCATGGGTCACTGAGGAAGTTCACATGGATCGCATGACCGCTCTCGGTGCGGGATATGCTGCCATGACTCTACGAAATTTCGCCAAATCACCACGCCGGAACCCATTCCCTAACACCATGTTCTGGGCGGCTATCCACAAGATCTTAGCTATTCCGCCTTCGGAATTACAGGAGACCCAGATTGCCCTCCTGGCAGCCCTCCTCCGATCTTCCGGCGAGAGGATTCTCGGATTCTTCGGCCAGTATGGACTGGCCCTGATGCACTATGCCATTGTCGACCTTCCCCGCAAGCTTCAGCGGGAGACCATGGCTGTGACCCAGTTGAGCACCCTCAGGGAGCTATATCTGAAAGAGAAAAACTTTGCATTGTGATTTGGGCTGACGGGCGTTTGGGGAGGGGGTGGGATTTGAAATTTTTTTTAGGATTTAGGCAGTCTCGAGAACGATGGCTGGAGGCGAATAGAAACGGCATGGCGTTTTTTTTGTTCTAGACTGACGATCATCGCCGAATAGCATCATACCCGCTACGAATCATGTCAGAATCATTTTGTATGATAGAGCTTGTTAATAATAGCTGAAATCTTACATGAAATGTCAGCACTGTAAAAAGCACCCGGGTAAGTCTGGCGACAATAGAACGTTGGTTACATTTGCATTCCCGCGATCTCGGCCCAGGAATTCCAAAGCCACAGAGAACTGCCATCTAACATTCTGACAGGCCCACTCACATACCAAGTGGCTTAGTACTACAGAACCACCACCTCAATCGCAATTCCAATCAACACACCGTACTTTGTAAAACAGAGAGCCCTATTCTCGAGTGTTTCCGCCATTTCCCCAATTGTCAGTCCCCGCCAAAGCATATTGGCTCTAGGCACCCCATTCATCCGAGGTATGGATATCGATCCATGGATGGTGGCAATGATGATTCAGGTTATATCTATCCGTGTACATGACTTTTATGTTTGCTTTGGTATGAGAGCTTGATTCTTGAATACCTTTACTCGGTTGTTATCCTGCAAAGACTAGATATATACCATTGATATTAGGTATGTGTGGCAATAGAAGCTCAAATAAGCCGAGTTTCTGTTGTATGGAAAGTAACATGTCTTCCAAACTCTCCAGTGACGTTGGGGGTTGCTCGATATGGTCCAGGATGGCAAACGGTAATATGGGGCCACCCTTGGCTGCCAACCAATCCACGGGAGGCAATGTACAGAGAGATATCCTGCATGTAACATGCATTTGCATTGACCATGGTGATTAGCTGACTGTGAAACCTGCAGGTGGTATGAGCTATCTCAAATCTCAAGCCCATTTTAGCTGCAAGGGACAAGACTGGGGATGCACGAGCCACCGCATTCTGTCCAGAGGCAACAAAGCGACTGTGAAAACAGATACCGAGCTGGCCAGATTCTAGTGAACCATAGGACATTCAGTTCCAAAGATATCTCCCTGTGGTTCTCTTCTCCGAGGCGATTGGGATCGGCGAAGCTGTGGGCGGTGTGGACCAAACATAATAATGCGGTTCTTCGCCATCCGATCGATTCCCCAGTACTCTCTCCACATGGGGGCAGTTTTCCAAGGATTAGTATGGATCTGGACATCTGGGCGATGTGGGCTTTGTCAAGGTGACATCATGACGGATATCAAAGATATCAAAGATGGCTCTTAAGACACAACTCTGACATTTGAAAGGGAATTATGATCCGGTGGAGGAATTGAATATAAAAAGTTATAGTAGGATATGCATAGACAGACAAGCTAAGCTGCTCAAGGCCAGACCTTTAAAGGGGAGATGTTTCATCCATGGATCCAAGAATAGCAGCATTGATGCTAATTGGTCCATTTCACCCCCTATAAACATCAAGTGGAGACTTCCCTCCGCCTTAACAAAGTCCAGGACCCTGTCAGGGCCTAAACCCTCATTTCCCCCGAATCTAACCTCTGGGTCTTTCTTCTTGGTCCCTGACGTACTTCCTTTTTCTTTCTTTCCTTTACTATTTTGTTCTGGTCGAATTCTCTCTTTACATCGACCTCATCTTTTACAATGCGTGCCTCCGCTGTTATTTCTCTTCTGCTGGCCGCTGCCCCGGTCCTGGTCTCTGCTAAGGGTACTCTTGGTTTCTCGCTCGGTAACAAGAACGCCGATGGTACTTGCAAGTCCACCAGCGATTATGAGGCCGACTTCGATGCCCTGAAGGGCATGTCTACTCTCGTCCGTACCTACTCCGGCACCGAGTGCAAGACTCCTCAAAACATTCTCCCTGCTGCCAAAAACAAGGGCTTCAAGGTCGTTCTCGGCATGTGGTAAGTCTTTTTTTGACTGCCCCCTAATTGGAACTATTTTTAACACTTTTCTTCTTTAGGGTTGGCAAGCCTACCGATACCAAGAACCTCTTGGAGGAGCCTTCCTTCAAGGGAGATTGGGCCGCCATCCAGAAGGCTATCCCCGGTTACGAAGACGTCATTCACGCCATCACCGTTGGATCCGAGACTCTCTACCGTGGTGACTTGACCGGACCCCAGCTCCACACTTATATCAGCCACGTTATGGACAATGTGCCCAAGGGTGTCCTTGTCGGCACCGCAGAGAGCTGGAACAAGCTTGCTGACGGCACTGCTGACGCCCTTTTCACTAAGGAGCCCGTCGTCAAATATGTGTAAGTGGAAAGGAAGAAGACAATTGGAGCTTCGCGCAATACTGACCCTCTTCATAGCTTGGCCAACGCGTTTGCTTACTGGCAGGGTGCTGCCGCCGACAAGGCCCACAAGACCTACTTCGATGATATGGCCGGCGCCATGGAGCACATTCAGAAGATTGCCGGTGACAACGCCGACAAGATCAATATCGTCACCGGTGAGACCGGCTGGCCCACCGATGGCGGCTCTGACTACGAGGATGCCAAGGCGGGTACCAAGAATGCTGAGAAGTTCTGGAAGACTGGTATCTGTGGTATGCTCGACTGGGGTGTTGATCTTTTCTACTTCGAGGCCTTCGATGAGTCCTGGAAGCCCGATACCAAGGGTGACAACGGCGAGATGAAGGATGAGCAGCACTGGGGTCTGTTCACCGCCGAGCGCAAGATCAAGTTCGACACCACCTGCCCCAAATAGACTATGTGTGACTATGTGTGACTATCTGTTTGCCTCATCGAAGTGTCTTTGCTTTGATAGTTTGCCCGCGACTAGCGGTTTCTTTTTCAGATTGTACTGATTTATTCCGTGGATGCTTATATCCTACTCCAATGGAAATATGGTTTAATTGTCTGTGATTGTTTGAGTAAACGATGACATGGGCGTTGCAGCAGCGTCTCGCGAAGTTCGTATTCTATAGTTGTATCTACTCCGTAGAATCTTGAGGACCTGTGAAATTGTTCCAAATGAAGACTTCGGAGGCCAGAAACGGCCGCCTTCCCACCCATATGTTGGTTACTCGCATGACTCTTGAGTATCAATATGGTCTAACCTGAATGGGACGACTATGTACCTACATACGTAGCCCCCTCGAATTCATCCGGTGAGCCACCCGTAGTCAAGAACTGAACATGTAGCCTGATAGCGGACGCGCACTCCCTCTGCACTCTTCAACGACCGTCAGAAATGGAGCAACCGGCCTTTATCTTCTTGAATACAACAGGCGCATCTAGTCTCTCTCCGCCAGCCGCTAAGCGAATGAGGGCGCATATCACGAAAACCAACTTCGCCAAACGGCGCCAGCATGCTCCGTCGACTAGAGCAGAACCAAGAGAACAGAGAAATAATCAACTGCCGCCATTAAGATAGATCGAAAAGCCCGAAAGCAACCAGAACATCCCATTATTACCGCTTATAGCCACCCGACCCGATTCAGTTCGTGATACAACAGCTTGTAAGTTGCAACTACCAAGAGCTATAGAGCATTCGCTCATGGTCTATAGTCCACAGGATCCAAGAGCTAGTCTTCCTAGAAGGCAGGCATTCTCCCGGAAGCACAAGTGAAGCAGCGTGGTTTACCCTTGTTGCCTCGGACCCAGTGCTAACCGAAGCAACAATGGCGGTGGCCGTACGACACTGGTCGCCCGATGACGCATGGCAATTGAAAGCATATCGACATTCATACTCAGCGGTCCATTTCATCAAGCAGCGAATCATGTCGACGGGAGCTCGGACGGAGGGTGTCCTCGGTGCAGTCATCGTCTTAGCATTCGGCGCAAGTCTGGAACGGGACGATGTGGTCTGGAATATTCATATCATCGGTCTCGCGCATATGATCAAAGATAGAAAATCCCGCGCCAATCCGCCGCCATTGTGGATAATAGATCTGATTGTCCAGTTGGTGCATGCACCCTCGGAATAAACTAACGACTAACTATTTCCCATAGAGATTCCGTCAACGCGATCTTCGATTTCCCACGAGTATACCATGAGCGCATTCTTGAGGCCTTGATCGCTTGCGATGATCAGAGAATCCTCAGAATAAAAAGAATCTGCGACAGTGCGATCCAGCTACAGAAAACGATCGAGTCTCATCACCAGCACCAGTTTGATCCGACTATGGTGGCACGAAAGATCGAGGAGCCACTGTCCCAGCTGCATTACGAAGTACGGGCTCTCGGGGCCGTTGATGATGTATATGTCCAGGCCACCGCGCGAGCGATCGAACTGGTGCTCTATCTCCTCTGGCCATCGCGGTCGGGAGCTTACTTAACCCTTCTTGCGGGGGAACTGAAAGAAGCAATAAGCCGATTTCCGATCAAAGGATGTTCCTACATGAATTTGACTTCCTTTCCGCTGATGATTGGGGCCATTGCTGCCGAGGAGGACTCGCTACCTAGGATGTGGTTTGTTGACAGGTTGGCCCGGGAAGTGCGAGCGCTGCAGTTGCGTGGTTGGAACAGACCACTCAGTCTCCTGCAAAATAAGTATAACAATAATAAGTCTAGTCTTATGGAGCGATTCCAAGCTCTCTGGTGTGAATTATACTACGTCGCCAATGAGCTTAAGGATTGAACGAATAATCGACCTCCAAGTATGCAGCGCCACTCACTCTGATTTTCCTAACTAGGAAAATTAGATTGGAAGTTTCTCGAGTGAAACGGGAACCTTCTCCGTCGTTATTTCTGATACAATCATGAGCATTTAGTCCCTGAGAGCTTATGCTGCCTTGTGTGCATAAGCACCGAATGCTCCAGCAACCAATCACACTAAAGCGCCACCCAATCTGATTTTCCTAATTAGGAATATCAGATTGGAAGTCGTTTGAAATCAAAGAACATTATCGTTCTTCCAAAGCTACTTAAATAATGTCCTTCTCCCGATCATACTTTGATATATTCTTCTATCACCGCTACAAGCCCCTTCGTTTCCCCAACAACACTACGACGATTTGAAAAATGGCCAGACAATGGGTTCTAAAGAGCCAAGAAGGCTTCGAGACCTCCCTGGAGTACCAGCAGGATGTGAAGATATCATCTCCCCGCGAATTGGGTCCCCACGAGGTTCTTGTTCGCATTTGAACTATCGCGAACTAGTCATTCCTACGGTACGCCTGGACCCCACAATGCCATGTTTATATAACCTAACCTTGTTCAGGGTATGATTGGACCTATCGCGCCATCAGTCATTCCAGGCTGTGACGGAGCCGCATAGTCGAAGGGGTGGGATCATCTGTCCGTGTCTTCCGTCTAGAAGATCGAGTACTCACGCACATCGCCCCGAGACTCGTTGAATCCCGTGGAGACGATGCACTCGCGGGTGTCGCTGATGTTCTAGTCTGCCTCGGTCAAGGATCTGACGGCACGCTTCGCTCCCATGGTGTTTTCTCCGAAGCGGGTCTTGTCCACGCGCCCAAGTCTCTCGACTGGCTTCCTGCCGCTACCTTGACTTGCACCTGGACTACCGCGTGGAATGCTCTTTTTGGCTTAAAGGGCCAAGAAGCAGGACCGGGCTCGTGGGTGCTTGTTCAAGGTACCGGTGGGGTTAGTATTGCAGCTCTGCAGCTCGCCGTCGCAGTGGGTGCGACTGTGATCGCGACCACTTCGTCTGAGGAGAAAGCGGCTTGTATGAAGTTGCTAGGTGCGACGCACGTTATCAATTACCGGACTAATCCGAAGACCTGGGGTGAGGATGCCCGAGGCTTGACCCCTGGTGGAAGAGGCGTGGATTTCGTCATTGATATTGGCGGCAATGAAACACTTCCCAAGTCTTTGGCGGCGGTGCGGGTGGATGGAATTGTTCTAGTCATTGGTCAAGTCGGGGAGTCTACCGTCGATGCTGTGCCTATGTTTGCTGCTCTGCTGCATACGTGCATTGTTCGCGGCATTCTGGCTGGCAGTCGGCACCAGTTTCGGGAGTTGGTTCGCTTCATTGATGACCATAAGATTGTGCCGGCGGTTGACGATATGGTATTTGAGCTGGCTGAGGTCAAGAGTGCATACAGGCGTCTCAAGGAGAAGAAACACTTTGCTAAAGTTTTGATCAAGATTGATTGATGAAATCTAAATCGAGCTATGTCAATTCGTGTTATATGGCAAGATCTATTATAGCGAAATAGCGGATAAAGTCAATGCTCTATTATCAAGATATAGGTCAGACTTCTGCAGATGATAGTAGTCTATGGCCAGAAAGGGCTTAGGTGCGTAACAGGCATATCCCGGCGGTAAATAAATTCTCACCAATCAACATGGAAGGCGCGAACCCTGGAACCCTTTGTTGCAGAATGGACTCTGATTGGTTAATGAAGACACAACTCATTAGTCATGCTTAATACCCGCGAACGGCCCCAGTGGTACGGTCGAATCCATGGAAGCTCTCGATTTACCCCTGAATTTGTTTAGATCTCCAATTAAAATTGGAGTCCATTGTTTACTTTTAGTTGGGGGATGTAAGGAGGCATGAATATGCCCTTACCCTGAAGGCAAGGGTTGGAATCAGATGGTACATGTGCATTATGCGTACGGCGTAGACAGCAATTGACATTGTCAGAGCCAAGCCAAAAAAGAGCCAAAAGACAAGCTAAGCCAACGGCCTCCGCGCTAACCAAATAATAGTTGAATGGGCCTATGGTACCCTGTACACCGCATTAGCTCGCATTACCCACACCCTAGGAGGTACCCAGTACGACGATCCAATACCCGTGACGTCCAACCTTTTTTTCCCCTTAGTTCCCCATCCTGGTCTTTGGTGATTCTGACTCGAGCGTGTTTCTGATCTCTCTTTTCTTTTTTATCTGCTTGCAGATTGCGCCTATCCTCCAAAAAAAGACAACCTGTACATTATTTCGTCCCAGGTTGTCTCGCCAGCGGTGGTCTTCAATTCCGGTTTGATTTCCATGCGTCAACATTCTGGACGATAAGCGGAGCGGCAAGCAAGTGCTTGCTGCAGGAGTCGACACGGAAGGTGTGTGTGTATGCATTGATGTTCTCTCTCTTTGACCCCTTCTCCGGATTATGGAATTGGGCTCCACGCTGCCACGCGACTTGCACTTCATTCTTCAACTCCCTTCAATCGCTCTTGACCCCTCCAAATATGCCAGTCTAACCATCCTACATGACTACAGATCTAGATCACTCCGTCTCTTCCGCCATCTCGGCATCTTCTCCACAGTTCCATTCTCGGGACACGCGCCTCATCCGTGAATCGCGTCTGGCTCCCTCACTACTCTTGTCCTCTCCGCCATCAGGAGACTCGAGTCCGTCGACCGCTGGTTCCCCCGGTCAACGAGCTTCTCCGCGGAGTATCACCCTAGAGCCCCCGCCTCTCCCATTTTTATCCTCATATCGCGCAACTGAAGAATCTCGGGCCTCCTCGCCGGTCAATCGCAAGGCGGAAAGCAGCATCTACTACACCACGGCGTGGGGATCCCCGTATGCAGCACCGAGCACCCGGAGACTCTCAGTGACAAACAGCCAACACGAATCTGCTGTCATCGACAACGGATCTGGTCCCGGCTCGCCCGTCTCGTCAGTAGCCAACCGCACCGAGTTCCGGAGATCGAGTGTCGCCAACGACGACACACTTGAACCCGAGGACCGTGATATCGTCGCCAATACCGGAGATAAATCGATACGGGAATTTACGCAGGATTGGATCAACCAGTACCTTACCGGTCAACCTAGAACGGAACGCAGCAATTGGCTCAGCGACGACTCAGGAAGTGAAGCACCCTCGTTCATCACTGCGAGAAATCACTTTGCCGACGACGCTTCGGACGACTGGCTTGGTCTGGAAGACGACTTTCGTTCCGACGATCTGTTGAAAACGCCAACGCTCTCTGATTTCGTCGGGAAAAAAGCCGCACGTGCAAAAGTCAACAAAACCTTGCACAAACGCGCTGATACCCTGCGACAGGAGGACTTTTGGGGTTTCGCGTACGATAAAGATCCACCACAAAACAACATGTCCGACTTGAACACACCGACCGTCGAGGTAAACTCGCCGGTATCACCGGTAGAGAAGCCGTTACCTCCTCCACCCGCAAACGCGATGGAGGACACTCTGAAGTTAGAAGAACCATTCGACCCGGTTCCATTAAAAACACAGGTCTCTGATATCAGCAGATCAGCTACCCAAACACCACGGCGGAGAAAGAAACTGAATTGGCGTGGGAAAGCCTGCATAATTGAGCTGCCGCATGTTGATAATAGAGGCTCAGAACCTGGGTATCGTCTCCTAACACCGGCTGACGTTCAGAAGCGGATGCAAGAATGGGAGAACGAAGGGTACGATGTTCGTGGATTTACCATTGGCGATTCCGAGGACCCCTCCACCACGGCGACTCTAGGAGGTCTCAGCCGACCCCTATATCCCGATCCATATGACCTCCATGAAATTTCCAAAAGCCAACCGCTTGTTGTCAACTTCCCAGACAGAGCCAAGTGGGAGTCCTATATCACCGAGCTCCAAGAAGAAAAGCTGCGCGCCCTTGGAGTGTCATTCGGCGACGATGAACCTGAACAGTCCATTTCACCTGATTACTCGCTCAACCCCAGCGGCACTCCTTTCCCAGGCCTTATTGCATCCCCGCCGATTCCTACTGCGTCTGCAGCAAGCAATCCCCTCGGTCATATCCACCCATTCTCGCCTCACTTCAATCAGCCATCGATGCCTACGCCTGGTGCTATGGGCTCCATGGCATCACCTGCTTCGCAATTCGGTATGCAGACGCCATTCATGGGTGCGGATCAAAATATGATGGGCGGGTTCCCCTTCCAATACCAGCCCACGCCTCCTGCTCAGGGATCTATGACTCCCCAAGGCTTCCTGAACCCCCGACAGGCAACTTCTTCGGCTGGCCCCGGGGCAATGGGCAACTTTTCCTCCATGCTATCACCAGTGTCCCCATTACATGACCAAGGGTCCTTCCACGCAGGATTTAATGATAAGGGTGTCTTCGATGATCAATTTGGCCATGGCATGCACCAGGAAGGCCTGCCATACCAGGCTCCACAGACCCCGGTCAACGGACACCCAGATAATTTCCACGCATCGAACGTCGAGCTTGCCCAGCCTACACCTCGAGGCCACGGTCATAATCTGAGCGAAACTCTGCAAAGAGGACTGGACCAGATGACACATACCGATTACCATCTGGAAGACTCGATCGACCGACAATTGGAGGATGATTACCGTGATATCAACCATGCAGGCCTAAATGCCGGCATGCTGAAGTCGCGCTGGGGATTACCAGAAAATGAACACCACGCACAAAATCCTGCCCATCTCCCACCTCATTCCTTCGCCCAGCACCAGCTCCCTCACCAATTCTACGGAGACCAATACCAACAACACAATAGCCAGGATGCTTCTGATCTCGATACAAACCCTAGTGTTGCGGGTACGCCCCAGACTCGCCAAGGGCCGTGGCACGAGGCGCAGCCTAGCGCTCACTCCTACCATGCAGGCCATCAGTCTCAGCTCTCGATTTCATCACTCAACGTCGCAGCCAAGGAATTCGACCCGACAGCATCGTTCAATTCCCAGCCTGTGCCGTTCGGTAATGACCCATTCCAGTTTGGCGGTATGGGCGAGCAAGGATTCGGGTTTGCCGCGCCTCCCTCGTTCACGCCTGGTAACAGCCTGAACGGCCCAATGGTTCCCAAGCAGAACCACAATGCGAGTGGCAGTGGCGCATTCAAGTTCTCCGCCGCATCGTTCAATGTAGACGCACCTGTTTTCAACCCCAACCCCTCTGTCAGCCTCAACTCGAATGTCAGCTCCGAGAAGCCTCCGGCTAGTCACGCCAAGATCTTTGGTGACATTGACATCAGCGAGATCACCACCCCTGACAAGAAATCCAAGGCTATTCCTATTGTGCGACCCGATGAGATCGAACAGGAGAACAATAATAAAGAGCAGGCCGTTGAAGACGATAGCAATGGTCGACCTGTACCCACGGACCGCCACAAGCGTGCGCGTCGCGGTGTCGGCCATTCTGAAGGCGAGGCTAGATATAGTATCTCCACCAACCCTCTAGGCGAGGCTGGCAACGCTCAAGCTTCGAGTGCGCTTCATGCAGTCGCCGAGGGCAAGGAGAATGCCATGCCCAAAGAGAACAATCCAGCAGAGCGGACGGGTACTCCTGTCAGCGAAGCTGACACTTGGACATTGTTCGACGCGAAGCGTGAGGCTGAGAACGGGTCTCAAAATGGATCACCGATCCGGGCGGAGGTCTCTAAGGACATTGTCATCGAAGAACGTGAACCAAGGGAACCTGCTGCAGGAGATATTACGTCTGTCACTGTCTCGAAGAGTGTCGAACATGCTCACGCATCCAAGAGCTCGATTAAGAGCACTACGCTGTCGGCTAATGCCCAGCCTTTCGAGTTCAAGCCTGCTGTTTCTGAATTTGTTCCCATAACTGTTCAGCCATCTAGCTTTGCTGAGCCAAAGGTTATTGAGCAGCCCATCGAAACCCCTGTCAAGAGTCCCATGCAAGCTGGACTCATGGCTTCTCGCTTCGCTGCCGCAAGCCCACCTAAGAAGGCAACCTCACCAGAGCCTGAGGCCAACACTCCAACTCGCGTGGAACCGGAATTCATCACTCGCAAACCTAAGCATTACGATAGCCCATGGGACTCCGAGGACGACTCTCCTGACGATGAAGAGCTGAATGCAATTATGCAACAGCTAAACGACGACGACGCAGATGTTGGTATCGAGCGGCAAGCGACTCCTTACAACACGATCTACGCGACCCCCTTCCAACCGCGACACGACCACCTCACCGAGTCGATGGGCGGTCCCACAAAAGAACAACGGTTTGGTTCTGCGGAGGCCCGAAGCGAAGCCCCCAGCCCGAGCCCCGGTGGAGTCCCCAAGACCTACAAGCTCAGCATTCCCAAGATTGGATCGGACATCGATGCCAACAGCAATGCTACCTTCTCTCCGCAGAAGAGCCTTATCTCCCGTCTTCAGTCCCCTGTTCGCCACCTTATTACTGAAAATGACCATGTCAGTGACTGGGATGACATGATCTCCGCCGGTGAAGACG